CACAATCTAGAGTTAAGCAAAAAAGAGAAGACAATTCACTGGAGTTAAACAAAAAAGAGAAGAATTCACATATAGTATACTACTCATTTCTGCGTTCTGTCGAGTAGCCATAACTGGAATAGTACTAATTCTTCAACAACAATTGTCCAAATACATTAATAATAATATAAAGTAGTAGCAATTTCACCTTAAAATTAACAAGTCCAAACATATAGTACAAACTGTTCAAATTCAAGTTAACAAGACAACAACTACTCAATCCTTATAGGCTTCACCAAATAAACTGGATGTTGTTTGTCAAATGCCTAACCTGAAAAAAGAAATCATAGAGCAAAACCTTGATCTATACATGGGCAATACTAACACAGAAATAAAAAATACCTCGAAGGCAAGAAAATATTGTCCTGTTGTCAAAGCTCAACGTACTGTATAGAAGAATAATGTTAAAAAATATACCCAAAACTGACAAGATTGTCGATTGAGAATTGATAAGTGCGAAGAGAAACTGGTAGTAGGTATAGGCTACACAACGTGAGCTCACAAAATTAAGAAATGAAAATAAAAAAATAAAGAATCATTAGCAGTCAAAACCAATATGACGATGAATTTTGTTATAGAAATTAAAAACCTAATGTATAAGACTAAAGACTTACGGTAGGAGTAACTAGTAAGGTCTATGAAGAATGAAGATGAAGCAACTGAAGAGTTCGGCTGAGAAAGAATAAGAGAGAATGAACTGAAGCCCTAGCATACGTATAACTTAAGGGTAAAGTCGTAATTTTATTAATTCTTGGGTTATCGGTTAACCCATTAACAAAATTGGCAAATCGAGACCCAAACCGATTACCCAATAGTGAAAAATTCTAAATCGTTATTGAATTGTTAACCCAATAACTCGATATCGATAATCCAATAAATAATTAATGGTTTGGGTTATCGATTTTACCCGATATATGTTCGGCCCTGCTTGAAATTGCATAAATAACTGCTCTTACACGTTTAAACTGCAAAGGGTCATTCAGTCTGATGTATAAAAAATTAAAACTCCGTATAAAGTTCCCATATTGATTATATAACATTTACTTATTTTAAGTAAATATTTGATGGTTTACGTCTAATCACTAGTACAGAAACTAACTAATTTACTTACTTTAAGTAAAACCTGATGGCTTACATCCAATTGTTAGTAATCGGAAAGGTATTAAAAGTGATATACTTTCCTGTTTACGTACAATTTTGGCAAGATAAAGCTTAAAGGAAATAGCTCATTACACTCAACGTTTTTTCCTTACTCTCCAATTTTATTTCAATTTTCTCTTTTACTTTACTCTTACCAGACAAAGGAATTATAAATCGTTTCACTGAACTTTTTCTTTCACTCTTTCAGTTAGCTCCTCTTTTAACTCCAACCAAACATGGTATAAAGCGATTAAAATAAATTAGCCATAACATTCTAAAGACAAAAGTCTTGAAGTTTTTTGTTAAACAGTGCCCATCTATCATGTTCTAATACTGCCAGACTTCTCTTTCAACATTGTTATATAACAGTCTAGAACAAATTTTTATGTTATGTTATAATTCTTTTGATATATATATATATATATATTAGTTAAGTTTGTTATGCTTAGTTGTCATTAGCTGTATAATTATTCTTAGTTGGTTAACTAGTTGGATGTTTGTATATATAGTTGATTAACGGGTGTAATAAGATTGGCGGTTATCATTTTCTTCTCAACTCTTCTGAATATTCTCTCGAAGCTTCCACCATTGATGAGCTTGCTAGCTCAAGCTGCATCTCATTGATTCCCGAATATTTTGTCATGGTATCAGAGCAGAACCCATCCCAATTTTCTGATGTTGGGCCCCTATAATTGTCCATGCTCCAGATGTCCAGTCCTGGGCGTGAGAGGGGGTGTTGAGTCCCACATCGACAATGAAGGGGATGGGTGGTCTCCTTATATGGACTTGGGCAATCCTCACCTCTTGAGCTAGCTTTTAGGGTTGAGTTAGGCCCAAGGTCTATTTAACTGATTTTTGATTAGCAATCTCATTAAATTTGCGAATCCATTGTTAATTCCTTTTTCAATCATCTTACTTCAGCAATGGAAGAATCAATGATTCCTTATACACATCCTCTATACCTTGGTCCATCTATACTCCAAGAGTAATTTTAATCCCAGTAAAATTTGCAAGATCTGAGAATTACAATCTCTGGAGCAGGACAATGAAGATTGCTCTCTGGGGAAGCGAAAACTAAGTTTTGTGATTGACACCTGTACCAAGGATCGTGCATGACAGAATTACATGAACAATGGGAGACTTGTAATGCAATTGTCCTTTCGTGGATCATAAGCACGGTATCCAGAGAGCTTCTTAGTGGAATTGCTTATGCATCCAACACACACCTTGTTTGGAAAGATTTGAAAGAGAGATTTGACAAGGTGAATCGCATGAGAATTTTTCAATTACACAGAGCCATAGCTAATTTGTCACAAGGTATAGACTCTGTCTTAGTCTATTTCACTAAGCTAAAGAGCCTTTGGAATAAATATGATGCCCTAGTACCTGCTCCCTGTTGCCAAAATGGTAACAATGAGATCAGTGATTGCCTTAGCAGTTTCAAAAGGCTGGACTCTATATCAAATGGATATCTATAATGCTTTCTTATAAGGTGATCTATGTGAGGAAGTATACATGGAATTATCAAAAGGCTTTAGGAAGTAGGGGGAGAAGAAAGTTTGCAGATTGCTAAGTCATTGTATGGGTTTAAGCAAGCATCCAGGAAATGGAACATTAAGTTGACAGATGCATTATTAGAAGCGGGTTTCTCTCAAAGCAATCATGATTACTCCTTGTTTACTCTGCGCAAATAGGCTGATATGGTGGTGATTTTGGTGCATGTGGATGATTTGCTAATTACATGCAGTAGTGAAACCTTAATTAATCAAGCAAAACAAGTCTTGCATCAGAATTTCAAACTCAAGGATTTGGGTGAGCTCAAATATTTCTTAGACATTGAGGTGCAGAGCTCTAAGTCTAGAGTTATCTTTGAACCAAAGGAAGTATGTGCTTGAGCTGGCTTCTGAATTGAGACTTAGTGGAGCCAAGCCTGCCATTACTCCTATAGAGTCCAACTTGAAACTCACAATTGTAGAGCATAACAAAGCAACAGGTGCCAAAGGAGATTCACTACTACCTGATGTTGGGCCTTATTAAAGACTTATAGGGAAGCTCATGTATGTTACAATCGTTAGACTTGGCATTTGTTATGCCATTCAGACACTTAGTCAATTCATGCAGCAATCCAAGAGGTCTCATTGGGAATCTGCTCTTCGAGTGGTCAAATATCTTAAGAATTCACCAGGCTAAGGTATTTGGGTGAAACCTGGTTCTACAAATGAGCTCAGCTATTGGTGTGACTCTGATTTGGCAGTCTGCCCCAACACTCGTAGGTCTGTCACTTGATATGTTATTAAATTTGGTGATTCACTTATCTCTTGGAAGTAAAAAAAAAAAAGCAACAAACTGTTTCTATGAGCTCTGCTGAAGTAGAGTATCGAAGCATGACTTCAGCAGTTGCGGAAGTCACTTGGTTAATTAGTCTTTTCAAGGACTTGGGTGTCACTATTCACGCTCATATCCCTATGTTGAGTAATAGTAAGTCAGCCATTCAGCTCGCTGCCAATCCCATCTTCCATGAATGTACCAACACATCGAAATTGATTGCCATTTCATTCGAGACAAGGTCAAGACTGGCATGGTCAAGACTGTGTATATGAACACCAAGGATCAGCTAGTAGACTTACTCACAAAGGAGTTGAGCCAAGCTCAACATTTGCATCTGCTAGGCAAGTTTGGTGTGCTCAACACTCTACACCCTGTAGCTTGAGGGGGAGTCTTATGATATATATACACACGTGGCTTAACTAGTTGAAGTTAGTTAAGTTTGTTATACTTAGCTGTCATTAGCTGTATAATTATTCTTTGTTGGTTAACTAGTTGTATGCTTGTATATATAGTGATTGACGGGTGTAATAAGATTGGCGGTTATCATTTTCTTCTCAACTCTTTTGAATATTCTCTGGAAGCTTCCGCCATTGATGAGCTTGCTAGCTCAAGCTGCAGCTCACTGATTCTCCAATATTTTGGCAATAGTATATGTTCTGTACAGTAGCAGATCCACATGGGCGCTTATGGGTGCTTAAGCACTCATTAACTTTGATCATATTTGGTAAAGTTGCATAGACAATTATAAAAATATTTAAATAAATATTGAGTGAGCACCCATAACTAAACTCATTTTTTCTTTTCTTATGGAATTTTTTTCGGCAAACATCCATGACTTTAAAATTCTAAATCCACCACTGGTTCAGTGTAACAACATTTCACTATAGCAACCAAAAAATATCGAAACAAATAAGGTTGTTATAAAGAGATTTGACTGTATAGGGAATGACATATAAGCTAATACTCAGTAGGACATATGAGCTAATACTCAGTAGCAGAGCAGAGTAGAAGCTATTTATTGATTAGCAAGAAAATTATGTAATCAATCCTAAGTCTTATATATTTCCAACATGTATTAAACAAATTGCACGTCGAAATAGGTGTAGTAGTTAAAGTGACTAGGTAAATGAACAATATAGAATATTGTGGAGTGTAAGGACTCTAACAATGCATATAATCAATCAACTAGATAAGTTTACTACTGATATTTCTTTATTTCTTTCAAGTGTAGAGGTGGTCCAATCTACTAAGTCTTCCTTTTTCAGTTGCGTGATAACCGTTCAAGTTAGAGTTTTGTGTATAGCATTAAAGACACTAATTGAAAAGCACTAGCATATTGTGACACTAAGAAAGGGAAATGAGAATGGGTTGTCATGTTATTTGGTAGGTCACTAAACAACCACCTTTGAGCTCACTTATCTTTGTTTACAATACATAATGGAGCTTTTTTTTTCTCCCTCATGACTTCATAGTATAGTCCTATCTTCAACACCTCACTCAATTCCCCTTCAATTTCAAGAAAAGATTATCACATCATTAAAAAAATTACTCTTCATTACAATTAAGTCTAGCTCAAGATGAAGCTAGAATGTATACAAAAAAGAATCCAATATAGAAAAAGAAGCTTACATCTTGTACATATGAATTTTCATTCCCTAATTAAAATTGGTAAAAGATAATAGAATTGAGCCCCCCCGGGGGAGGGGGACTTGTTCAATGAGCAAAATGGAGTTTGTTAAATGGGCTGGTTGAATAAGTATCAAGAGGGTCTATCGGAAAGAGCTTCTCTGCTCTTTCAGGGTAGGGATAAGATTTCTCTGCTCTTTCAGGGTAGGGATAAGACGATGTACGTCCTACCCTTTCCAAACCCGGTGGAATTTATTGGAGTTGCAGTTGTTGTTGCGGCAGATTAACAAATTTGGGTTGAATATTGCCACCACTAAGTTACTATTGAGAATTTAAACACTTCAATCATGTAAAGAATCAATGAATCTGTACACTTGTGAACCTTAGATGAAATTCCCAATGATTAATTAGAAATAAGGCCAAGTAGCTGCTCATGTTTGTGACTGTTTTCCATCCACCATTGCTGGAAACCAATATTCTCACTGCTAGAATCAAACATGTTCTCTTCTTCAACAGGAGCAGGCAGATTTAGATCCAAGAAATTTCTGATTTCTGGTACTGGTTTCTGTACTATTTCAACTGCTTGGTTATTGTGTCTTTTAGCATCAGCAATCAAATGGGATCTCTTATGACCACCTAAAGCTTGACCTGATGAGAAAATCTTGAAACAAATTGGACACTCATGATTCTTTAACTTCTTGGATCCAGAATTAGTCTCAATCTTTTCATTTATTGCACTTTCACTGCTGCAGTTTTTGATGAGTTTGATATGATCAACACCTTTATTTTCAATATTTTTGTGGCTTGCCCTATGACCTCCTAGTGCTTGGTAGGAATGGAAATTCTTATTGCAAATAGTACACTCAAATTTTTTCTTCTTGGAATTGAAATCCTCAGTAAAATCACTCCCTTTGACTAACTTAATAGCAAATTCAACTTCAGACTCTTTAACAAATCTGTTTTCATTGTCTACTTTAATCTTCTTCTTTTTCTCATCATCAGTTGGAACTTGTGATTTGTCCCTTTTTTGACCATTTGACTTGGAGCTCTCACCTTGTTCTGTTTTCCCATTTTTGACCATTTTCAGCTTGACCAATTCACCATCTTTATCATTTTGATGGGGTTGATAATTGTTATCAGAACACTCAATGACATGATTTTGACCAACCCAATTTCCCATATCTTTTGAAAGTAAGATCAAACTCATAGCAACTTCCTCTTGTAATTGATCATGTTCAATCTCAGAGATACAAGGAGAAGCATTATAAGCAATAGTTAAAGAAGAGGAAGTTGTAGTAGCCATGTACCTTTTCATCTTTCTTGATGATCTCTTCTTCTTATTTGGTGTTGCTGTTTCAGTATCAGATTGACTATCCATAACTTGTTTCTGATTAGTATTAGCACTGTTCCAAGAATCTTGTTCAACACTGTTGTTTATTGATGAGATTCTCTCTGAGTGACACTTCATATGGCCAAATAAAGCTTTCCAAGATTGGAAACTTTTGCCACATTCTTTGCATATTTTGTTCTTCTGATTTTGAAGCAAAGTATCTTCTTCACTTGACCCAGTAAATTTTGAAGTTTTCTTGGGATTTTCCCTCAGCACATAATTAACACTTTGATTACCTGCTTCAGTGCTCATATCTAAATTTGGAAGCATTTTTCTTGTAATATTTCCATCAGTTGAATTAATCATATGAGACCTCATATGACCACCTAATGATCTACCACTATTGAAACTTTTGTTGCAGAATTTGCATACATGTTTCAGTATTTCTTGATCTTCTCCCATTGAAATTGAATCAAATAAAAATTCAAGAATCAAGAATATCAGATCAGATGATCAAGAAAAAAGTCCAACTTTTACCTAGTCTTGTTCCTTCCTATCTCAAAATGCTACAATTCTGTATGTAGAAAATATCCAAATTATGATGTGGAGAACAAGCTAAAAAAAAAGGAAAAAAGCTTAAAAGAAAGAGTAGTTTTAGTACTTTCTCTTTCTTAAGTTTTTTCTCTCTCTTAGAAAAAAACTATGTTTGGCAAATTGGAGGAGAAATCCATGCATGGAAGCAAAGATAAAAAGAAGTGGTAAAGGGAAAGATAGTAGTAGCACGTGTACTCAACTGACAATATTACGCCAACCCAAATCCAACGGCTGAGATTGATCCTCTCATTTAGTATTTCTATTGTGTTGAGCTAACAACTGAGCTTAGCTAGCTAATTGTCGTGACCCGTCATATCATCATGCCATATAAGCGCCATTTAACATATATTAATGTCATGTGGAAGCTTACATAAGAAGAATGCTAGTATTTGTGAGAAGATTATAGAGAGGTATGGACATTTTCTTAGGAAGAACCTAGATCCTTATGAATTTGCTAGGAAAGTCCTTGGAATCTTCTAGGCTTGAGAATTCTAGAAAAAGTCCTTATCTTGTAAATATCAAAGACTTGTGTAATAATTAATATTTACACACTGGCCCCTAGGAGACTAGTATATAAAGGGGGTCATTCATTTATAATTCATCAAGCAAACAATTCAAGTTCTCTGTAATACAAAACTTCCTTTAGCAATTCTCTTGTGTTCTTTCGTCCATTCTCTTAGCGATCTTGAAACTAACTTGACATAGTAAGAACGTGAGCATGTTGTGCAAGATCGTGAGCGAGTTGTCAAGTGCCGCACGTATACTTAGTTAGCAACTAAGGACGTGACACAATGCTCAAAATAAATTACAACTGTTCTCAATAACTATTCTTTCCTTTGTCTTTGCTATTAAAGAAGCCCACAACTCAAAGTGAGACCAAAATTAAAAATTAAAGGTTCCACTCTTTGGCTGTTATTCTTTTAGGCTTATACTATTAAACTTTTCGTTTCTTTTGTATTTCCATTATTTTATGAGTGTAACTTCTTCTACACATTCATGGTCTAATACAATTCTTACATTGTCAAATCACAAGTAACCACAACAACAATCCAGTATAATTTTACTAGGGGGGTCTGGGGAGGGTAGTGTGTACGCAGACCCTATCCTGGGGCTGTTTCCAAATAGACCCTCGGTATCCTTCCCTCCAAGAAATCTTTACCTTGCTCTTGGAGTAACTCGAACTCACAACCTCTTGATTGGAAGTGGAGATTGCTTACCATCAGAGCAACCCCTCTTGTCAAATAATAGTAGAACGGTAACCTAAAAATTATGTACTACAACATATTAAAGTATTAATAGTACAAAAATCCTTCGCAAGGTTAGTATATACAAGTTAAATTTTCCAAAGACTTGAAATGATCCTTATTATGGTCCTGTCGTAGCTTGTTTGGATGGTTGTTACTTGTTGTATTGTATCGTATTGTTACTTTAAATATAATATTTATTTTATTGTTACTTAAATTTTGTTATATTGTATCGTTAAATTCATAGTTACGTAACGTCGAAAAGTGTCACTTTATGTATCAACCAATTTGATCATAAGGTGGCGTCGTTACCTTACTTTTTTTTTTTTCATCTTGCCCTTATTATTATTAAATAATCATTTCATCCTTGACCTTACATTTTTATATAGTAATTCTACTCCATATCCTATTTTTTCTTACTAATTTTGCAAGTTTAATCTTTATATTGTTGGTGTGGGACATTATGAAATGAACAATACAATTTATCTAAACGTTGTATGCATTAAACAATGCAATACAATACGATACATTATTAAACGATCGACATGAACAACCATCCAAACAAGCTGTCAATTCCCATTACTGTTGTTACTTCGATTGGCAATTAAAACATTTTTCTATGTAAAAAAAATTCAGACTCACAACCACAAGTTTAGATCGAACCTATGGAGCGTGACAGCATGAGCAACAAAAGGCATCACCAGCACTCACAATTTCCTTGGAGGCATTTAATTATTTACTTATTAATTAATTCTAGGCCAACCCAGAATATTTTTTTGAATTTAGCTTCATTTAACATATAGTACTTGCATTGATTTTAGTATCATAACTCTAAGTTGTAGGGAGAAATTCAAAAATAACTAAATTTATAAGTGGCCATTCAAAAATCGCCACAGTTTCAAAAGTCATCAAAATTTAGCCATTTTTCATGTAAAGATAAATCTGAACGAAAGCACTGTTCAAAATCCGGAAAATACTCCAACATAATATACTGGAACTTCAGTATACTAATACTGGAGTTCCAGTAAAGTATATCGGTCCAGCATAATATGTGGAAGTTCATATACAGGTGCACTGAACTCCAGTATATTATGCTAGATTGGTCTCTGTTGCAGCAAAATAGTGGTTATTTTTCAATGACTTGACAAGTGCTGGCTATTTTTGAATGACCAGTCTGAAAACTGGTTAGCCCGTGCTATTTTAACCAAGTTGTAGCACAAAGTTGACAGCAAAGAGAGCTAAATAGATGAAGTGAGAAAAGTTGCCGGCCTTAATTAAGTTGTTAGCAGCTAATTAAGCCGGCTTTCATAGCACTAACCGCAACGTGAATATGTCTTAATATTAAGGACAAACTAATCACAATTTTGATGAAAGTTCCTCACCTTTTGTGCCTATTTTAGCCGGCAATATTAGTGCAACTTTAGCTGTGAATTACTTGTCTATTTATTCATTTCTTTGATTTTTGCTAAGCAGTAGCACATTGAGAGTAGTAGTTATTATACGTTTATAAATAATATAAATATATGTGTGTGATTACGAGGAACAAGAAAGACCCCCCTTTATTTCCTTCTTTACTTAAAACCGTAATAAACAAACATTTTTTAAAGATCAAACATGTGCTTGCACATTATTTTGTGCCTAACTTTAGCTTGTGAACTATACACAATACATGCACTATGATGATTTTGTGTGGCAAAATTGTCTTGTGATTGGCCGAAGAATCTTGGATTTTAAAAGGCGAGTTCTTGACTAAATTTTAGTTTTTTTCTAGATTGATAGGTACCATTAATTAATTAAAAATTTAGAATAAAACATACTTAGATAACCTGAATTAAATGATAAATAACCACAAAAGATATGGCTGACATGGGTGAAATTGTTTTAGAATTCAAATTTTGACTAATTCGTGTGAAACACTGCAAAAATAAGAGAGAGTATTTTGCTAAGCCATGTGGTAACTACATAAAAGGAAGTGGGGTTCTTCATTTAACAAAAATAAAATAAAAATTGAAATCATTGTGGAGTTATAGAAAGATAAAAATATTACAGTTACTGTTTATTTTACTTCCAATCAGAGATAGTTTAAATTGAACGCGGTAATTCGCAGAGGCGGATCAAAAATTTCAATTAAATGCCTTCAACATTTAAGGTTTTAGCATTGAACCTACGTACTTTTAAAATTATGAGTTCAGACCTACTATTTGTTATAATTTTAATGAATAAAAAAAAAGGCAGCACGGTGCACTAAGCTTCCACTATACGCGGGGTTGGAGGAACGACCGGACCACAAGGGTCTGTTTTACATAGTCTTACCCTGCATTTCTGCAAGAGACTGTTTTCACGGCTCGAATCCGTAACCTCCTGGTCATATGACACATAATTTTAATGAATATTTACACATAAATTTATATTTCGCATCGAAAGTAATAAATTCATCTAAACTGGATGTTAATGTGTTGTATCCGTCTCTGGTAACTCGTATGAAACATGCACTAAATAGAATAACATTTTCTCAATGTTTTCCCCATTTCCTCTAGCTGACTTACTATATATATAGCTGGTGAGAAAGCAGCTCAACCACTTCTCCTTAATTAAGGCCTAAGGGGTTGCACCAAACCAACTGGTGTCAAGTGCATGTCCTATGATTTTACATGTTAATTTGATATCCTAATTTACATCTTGTTTATTTTGACAAAGAGATGCAAAATCTTGTAGAAATTAATTAGAATCTCCTAGTTTAATTTGATGAGCTTCTACCATGTGGCTCAATTTATTACTACTATATACATACCACTTGACTACCTAGCTATAGCTAGTAGCAGCAATGGACCAAAGATTAGGTCATCTATACAACCACATTAAGGTTTTATTTGTGTAAAAAAAAATGAAAAGCCTGCTAATATACATAATGCAGCATCAGCAAAAGAAGACTATTGTAAAATGCTTACTAATGGAAACTTTATTTTTGACTCAATCATCTTTGAATGTAGGTCAATCGTTCAAAGGCTAGGAAACGTGGTGGTGAAGCACAGCTACAGGGAGACGAAAAGAGTATCTGATATACTAGCCAATGAGGGAGCCAAGAAGATTTTTTGAAAATATTTTTGTAACAACAGTTCTTCCGATGTTTGCCGCACATATTTTTTGGACAGACATCACACGAACTATTTCATCAAGACAAATTTTGGATTGTAATATCGATAACTTTAGTCACAATGAGGGTGAATTGATATATCCCTCGAACTAATGCTACTGTCAATTAGCACCCTAATGGGTAGTTTTTTTAATGAAATACAGCTTTTTAACCAAAAATAAATGATTAAGCACATAAAGATATTGCTGCATATGTTATTACTCAAAGTGACTTCACTTNTGACAACTGACACTCTTCCAAGTAAAGTTAATTTGGCCACTCCTTGTCTTTCTCCCATACCCATTATAAACATCAAGATGCCTACTTTGGCTTCATGCTTGTTCAGTCAAGCTCACTCATGTATTCTTGAAACCACTTTATTATATGCGAGTTCGATCGAACCTACTTAATTTTGTTTAAATATTATATCTGTATCTAATTACAAATTTAATAACTGAGACAAGCTACGAGTTTTGTGAAAATTTCAGAATTCATAAACTTTAAATTTGGCTCCGTCTTTGTGTCCCACTACATTTGGGGAAGGGAAAACGGGTGAATTTTTAGAATTACTATTAATACTGGAGAAAAATAATTTCCTCTGGCTACAAAGACTAGGAACTAAAATCCAAAATTCCCTATATCTAAAGCTTTAACAACTCTTGTATATTTCTCTTCTTCTGTCTTCTCTTTCACTCTTTGTTACAATATTGTCGAGGCTGTATATTTCAGCAACTAATTCCCCTTTTTTGTCATAGAGTATAAATCCAAAATTACAGTGAATTCATAGTTTCATAGATTTTGTCATTAGGTTTAATTTTCTTAACGTAATTTACGGTAGGACTTGAATTAGCTCAATTTTACAAAATTTCAGTGGATTATTTATACTACTCATAGGGATTCTTTGGCAACATAACCAGTATTCATATTACTTATTTAAAGTTACAACAACAATAATAATAAATCCAATGTAATTCAATAAATGGGGTTTGAGAAAGATAGTGTATACGCAGATCTTACTTCTACCTTATAAAAGTAGAGAGATTGTTTCTGATATCACATATTTAAAGTTATGAAATAAAATAAAAGGCCAACATGTAAGACAATTAACTCTTTTGGAATTTCCTAATTGGGTACTGTAATTAATTCTTTCTTTTTCCCAAGAAGAAATAGATTACGTAAATATTTTTTTTAAATACCAGTAGAGACAAACAATATTAGATTTTCTTCCCCATTTATGTAAAATTTGGTGAATAGAGCTACGTGATATTTGTGCAGATAGAAAATAATAATTATCGGACAAATAATGATCACGTTTACGTGTGTTCAAACTGATTCGAGCATCATAATTTATAAATAAAAAATAAAAAATTGTCCATCTCGTGACACATCCCTTTTACCTCAAGTCAAAGCAAGAGCTTCACTTCCTCGCAAGCAAAAAACAAATTTAATGTGATATATATATAACTAAAGACTGACTCACTAATACCAGTAAAGTAAAGCTAATCTTTAGCTTAATTGGTCCACTATATTATGTGAATATGAGATCTGGTTATAGCTAGGTGACACCAGTCCATGATTAATAAAGAATTGGATTATAAGTAAAGTTCATTAATGATAAGCACGTCAATCCTTTAACAAATTAATATAAAAGATATTAACAATTAGCTAGTGTAGTATTTCTTTGGTGGTTAGGCTCTCGAGAGTTCATGCTTAACTGTATCTCTAAGTTGAGAAAAGTTAGATAACATGTTATTTCAGCAGTTACACCTCTTCCCCCTCTCCCGGCAAGTCCAGGATTTAAACTCTATGAGTTTAATATTTAAGATTCTTAATATTATTGATCTTATTATATTTTTAAAGTTATGGGTTCATATCTACTATTTAATTTGTTGCAATTTTAGTAAATATTTATACACAAATTTACTCCTCGCGTCGAAAGTTATTGGTTCAATTGAACTCGTAGATACCTACATCCACCCCTGCGTCACCCCCTCCCCCCATATAGTAGCAAAATCATGAAAGAGCGTGGCTTAGTGATCTGAGCTAAGTAAAAACCATGGTTCAAATTTCAGTAGAAACAAAAAATATTAGGTGATTTTGATTTTTTATAATTTGCTTCTTGATGGCAAAATATTAATACTTGCGCTGATAAGAAATCGCAAATATGTCTCCAGTGGCGAATTTAGAGGGGCAGAAGGGGTAACCCCCTTTGTCAAAAAATTACACTGTATATATAAGGCAAAATCTGTTTTTTACATCTATATATTAAGCTTTGAATCCCTTGATATGGCTCAAAAGCATATCTTAGTGGTCAAGGGGATTCAAAATTTTTATAAGGTCATAAGTTCAATTCCCACTAACTATAATCTTTTTTAACTTTTTTTTTTTAATCCCATTAGCGAAAATCCTACCTCGCCGCTGTATGTCTCGTATACGCATATATGTTTACAGAGAAATGGAAAACAACGGAAAGGGGAAGAGGAAATTGCAGAATTTTATTTAACTATAAGCCGCATATATATAAACATACGATCTACTTTTACAAAAAAAATCTTTTTTTCCTAATAATAGGTCGCGAGGAAATTTGCACCTTTTTAACTGTGGGCTGCTTTTGCCTCTCTTTTTTTAACAACGGGACAAGAGTAAAAATAGCACGGTATAGCCAGTTTTCGGATTGGTCATTCAAAAATAGTCAGCGTTTACGAAGTAAATAAAAAATAGCTACTATTTTGCTGCAACAGAGATCGGTCCAACATAATATACTGGAGTTCGGTGCACCTGTGTATGAACTCCATCATATTATGTTGGACCGGTATACTTTGCTGACTCCAGTATATTATACTGGACAATTATACTTGCTGGAACTCCAGTATATTATGTTGGAGTTCTAGTATACTTATGTTGGAACTCCATCATATTATGTTGGACCGGTATACTTTGCTGACTCCAGTATATTATACTGGACAATTATACTTGCTGGAACTCCAGTATATTATGTTGGAGTTCTAGTATACTTATGTTGGAACTCCATCATATTATGCTGGAGTTCTAGCATACTTATCCGGGAACTCCAGTATAATATACTGGCATATTTTCCGGGTTTTGAACAATGTTTTCGCTCAAATTTATCTTTACATGAAAAATGACTAAATTTCGATTACTTTTGAAATTGTGCTATTTTTGAACGACCAGTTATAAATCTGGCTATTTTTTAATTTCTCCTCGGGAAAGAAGTACACAAGTAGAGTAGATATATAAAGAAACATGGAGCTACTAGAAATCCACCACTCATATTTTTTTTAAGTCCTTTTCTCGTTTTTTGTGGGTATAAAAGGCTAATAATCATAAAGGTGCATGTGTTGCTTTATACAGCTAATAATGGCTCATGTGTTCATAGCAAGTTCTCACCAGCAATGCTTAGGAAATACTCATATAAAAAGGTCAATGAATTTATTTTATTTTATTTTTAAAAAAAAAAAACAACTGAAGTTATTACGTGGGACCTTTCCTTTACCTGTTCCTTTGGATGGATCATGCAAAACTAAAATTGGTTAGGGTAGAGCACTCTTCCACTACTTCTTTGACTTGATACATTATTGAAGATTTTTTCTCTTATATATAACCAAGTAAAGAGCACCCGTGACTACTTGCTACTTCCCCTTTCCAGCATAAGTATACTTGAACTTCAGCATATTATACTGGGGTTCCAGAATAAGTATGTTGGAACTCCAGCATAATATGATGAAGTTCCAACAAGTATACCGGTCTAGCATAATATACTGGAGTTTAGAGCATCGGTGCTCCAGTCTCCAGTATATTATACTGGAGCCAGCAAAGTATACCGGTCCAGCATAATATGCTGGAGTTCATACACAGGTGCACAGAACTCCAGTATATTATGCTGAACCGGTCTCTATTGCAGCAAAATAGTGGATATTTTTCATTGACTTGATAAACGCTGACTATTTTTGAATGATCAGTCCGAAAATTGACTATACCGTGCTATTTTTACCCGGCGGCTGCATCTAAGGGCTGCCGATGTACATGTTGACATTGAGCGTGATAGCCCACAGTTGCATCTGAGTGTATGTGCATCATCATAACAGGTGCAAGTGTCTGTTACTCATATTATAATATACTACTCCTATACATATTATTGAATTTTTTTTTTAAAAGTATAGATAAGAGTAAATCCATATTCCCATAATAAAAGCTTCTACTATATGGTATGGCCCAAGTGGTCAATGAAACGGCGTGGAACTTTTTGAAGAGAAAGGTTCAAATTCTAACCAGAGACAAAAATTACTAATAGATGATTTATTACATGACATGCTCTTTTCTTCTTTTCAATAGAGACTCTCAGTATTTAATGCCGTCAAGCCAATCAAGCAGTTTATACTTCACTCTCAACACAACCAACTCTTCTAAAAGTCTAATGATACACTCGAAAGCTTGGTAGGCACATGCCACAAGGTGTAGAGGTTAAAAACCATCCTTCCATGAAAGAATGCATTTTGATGGGTCTTATAGCCCGTTTGGTCAAGCTGCAAAAATCAATTTATTTTGAAAAGTATTTTTTTTCAAAAGTGCTTTTCTCAAAAGTACTTTTGGCAAGAAGCAGTTTATGTTTGGCTAATAAGTTGAAAAACACTTCTGAGCAGCAATTAGTGTTTGGCCAAGCTTTAAAAAACTGCTTCTAAGTGTATTTTCTCAAAAGTGTTTTTGAAGAAAAGCTATTTTTTTCTGCTTCTCCTCAAAAGCATTTTTTTTCCTTCCAAAAACTTGGTCAAACACTTCAATTTTTAGCTAAAAGTGCTTTTGACAAAACAAAAACAAAAAAAAAAAAAACTTTTGGCCAAGAAAAAACTTGGCCAAACAGCCTATTATTACTCGACCAGAAGCAAAAACAGCATGTTGTTAATCAGTCAGAGCTTTAAAAGGCTAAGAGCTTATATCATTAAAACTTCTGGTACGAATACCTTCACGAAACAAGATTATCCAGTGAAGCTATGTTTAAAGTTGGTAATTTCTTATAACCCATATCAAAGGTCTTCCCTTTATAGAGCTGAGAAATAGACAAAGGCTGACAAGGGAACATAAAAAGAGAGGAAATCAGCGACTGTACAAAACAACTAAACTTACGTATGTCAGAATTTTTACAAGGATCTTCATCCCTTTTTTTTGGAAATATGGCTCAATTGGCCATAGTTTAACTTTACAAATAAATTCTAAGAACCTGCGGTCAGTCAAAACAGCTTCCCAGGAAACTGGAGTTAAGTAAAGCAAATAATGGCTACTGTACAGTTCCAAAAGCTAAGCATCCATCAGCTCCTGTAACACCCTTGCAATGTCATTTCTTGCAAAGAGTAAAAACTATCTTCCACCAGCATTATTATGAATATACAAGGAAAACTGGAACCTGCAAATGAAGCATCACCAGATTGATTCAACCACACAAAACCAGCCTGTCTACAGCATGAATGTAAATGTCAAAACATAGCTTAACCCTTAACCATCTCGACTCTTGTATATCCAGGCTCCATCCCCAAAGACTTCTTCAATCATAGTGCGGGTTGGTAACAAATCAACTTCATTTCTGGCACAGCTCAAGTACCCAACATCCCATTCTTTGCCACCACATGGCCCCAACACACGATCATGCTCAATGCCACTGCCCATACCAGTAATATCATTTGCCCAACGTTTACCATTGTTGGTCTGCCCTAGTGATGATTCTGAAGTAACCCCGGCTGCAACAGTGGTACAGGAGCCATCTTGGACTTCTTGCTTAACCACTTTATTTGATAGGCCTTGGTCTTGAGGCTGCAAACTAAGTTTATAACTGCTGTTACTATCAAACAGCTCACCGGGACACGATTCCGGCACATCAGTGAAGACCTTCCTGCTACCAAAATTTAAAGCCTTATAATCTTCCCAGGTGGCATCACCACCATCCTCATCATGTTTATCGAGCTCCTCATGGATCCCATTGCCAATGAGATCATTATGATATGCTGGGGATTCAACCACAGACTCCTCATCTTCATCCGTCATATTAGCTTCCTGAGCAGCATCACCAACAATCTCCAGCCACTCATCGTTATCACTGTCTATGTGCAGCGGATCTAATCTGTTCTGCTCAGCACGTTTTCGCAAAATAAAAGCATTAAAATAATAGCTAACAAGTTCCTCTCTGCTTCGTGAAGGAAACTCAATAGCAAGATGGTTCCAGAAATTCTTGCCTACAGATGCAGGATTCGACAATACAACCTCATGAAATAATTCCTCTTCCTCTTCACTCCATTTTTCTGCCACTACCTCTCCCATGTCACAAAAACCCAACCTAAAAAATGTCTCCTCGCCAAGGGCTAGCTTTAGTTTTTCCCTTGCTTCCATGATGTGCAGCCGAACACATCTTATGGAACCTATATCTTCACATGAACATTCGCCTCCTCTCTCCACAATATTCTCCCCATTATCTGCACATAGCTCCATTGCAGGCATTGGAATGATACTCGTACCAGCAAGTTTATTTTCATCAGCTTGCGATGAAGGACACATAGTTTCGCGCATGCCCTCCATGTACGGTTTATCCTGATTAACAAATGCACCCCATTCGGGTAATTCTGCTTGAAAATCAGGTCCAATAGGGACCATCTTTTGAGGAGGATCACTCAATAGAGAAGAATACATCTCCCCGTGATGAGCAGCGCCCCTGAACGGATGATCAAAATAGTAATATTCAGGAGACATCAATATGTGAAAAGGCGCCTCAGGCCTGATGTCTTCCTCACTGGTGCAACTGGTGGGCCAGGAAGAGTTAGAAGCAGAGCCATAAATGCACATATCAGTTTCTTTCCCAGAAGAAAAAAGAGCTTCAGCCACATTGTGACTATCAAGTTCGTTGTCAGCATCAGGGTTGATACTTGAAGAGTTTTCCTCATCACCACCTACTGAAGATATAGAGATACAGATCAATCCATCGGAACCCACACTATAAAGAGTATGGAGCTAAAAGATTCACTTAACATCCCAAATCTGCTCCTAAAAGGAGCAAGCCTGTAAAGAGAGGTGTGGAGAAAACTGCTCCAACCTCAAAAAATACTTGGCAAGTCTTGCAGGGTGCTGCACTCCACCAGTGACTGAGAATTTTAAAATATGGTACACAAAGCAGCAAAAGCAGTGCAAAGAATATCTCAAACTAACAAAATAATCTCTTGTTACCTGAAGCATAAGCCTTCACAGCCACTGATTCACGAGAAAGTTCCAAAACGGAAACTATCTGACAGCTAGGTTCATGTCTTGGTTGCTTAGATNGGGAGGGTTGAAGTTCCATATGTAACAATACATATGATTCCATAATCACAAAAGACAACCACAAAATAACTTCAAAGAAAATAAAGGGATAATAACTATACTTCAGAGACCACAGAATTGCACTAGAACACCACTAGATTCAACACAGAAAACCTGAACAATGAGCACTCCAACCCAGTTCTATACAGCACAGGAAGGCATTCTAATTAAATATATAGTTGTATTATCTAGCTGAAAAGAAAGACACTAAGGTAAACACCACATCAACTCTCAATAAACAGAAAAACCGACATGATGTTGTTAGTCAGAGGCTCAGAGCATTTGGATATACAGTCACAACTTTGTCAAAAATAAAGAACTGAGCTATGTCAGGCTAAGCCATTCATGATAAAAATAATCCAATCTCATAAGTTACACCGTTTAATAAATGTAAGTCCAGCATAGTCGGAGCACCCATCTAACTATGAAAGGTTACAAGCACTAAAAGATACTGACCCGGAAAAGAATACAAACACCAATTTTTCTTTAATGACCAGAAATTACCAGACAAGACAACAGCTTACAGGAAACACATACATAAATGTTTGAGCAAGTAGCAAATACAGACAAGACTAGACACTGTCACACTGATAAGCGCGATAACATATAGAACAGCTCATTCTGTTTTCGAGCAAAGAAGGCTGCACAGAATAATGGCAAACCAAATCTCCAATTAGTGACACGTGGCAGGGGACGAAACATTGACGCCCCTTAAATTAGTTTTATCATAGTATGGCCCTAAAGAACGAAAAGCTGGAAAAGAGAACCATAAGTTTGTCTAATTACATGTAGTAACAAATTTACTTTTGCACCTTAACGACTGCAAAATAAATAGGGGAAGATGGACGGTTCGGGTACCTTGAACGGGAAGCCGGTCTTCGTCAAAACTGAGATAGTCAATCTTTCAATTTGAGGACAGCAATATAAATACGGGTAGAATTATTTAAAAAGAATTCTTTCTTCTTTTTTTTTTTGGAAAATTGAGAGGTAAAAGTATGAATTGCAATTTTTTATGAAAACCCTAACTCTAAATCCCCAAATTCAGATACAACTCTTCAATCAAAAAAATAAATTAATTAAATCAACCAAAAATTGGTTCAAAGAATTTAAAACTGGACAAGAAATCCCAAATCCGCAAATTATTTATATCGGGAGAAGATCAACCCTATTTTTCTTTCAAAAAACAAGAGAAATCAAGGGAGAAAAAACAAAATTAAGATATAATAACGATTAATTTTACAAAAAGAACTCGGAATTGAACAGATCTATAGAAAATAGAGGAGATCCGAAACCCTAAAATCGAAATTTGGTTTTCAAAACGGCTATAGCCGAAAAAAGTATAGATTGATAGAGGAGAGAACGAATTAGACAAATCAAAACTTGATTTGAAGGTCGAGAAGAAAAATCGAGGTCGATTTGAGGGGAAGAATAGTAGGGATTGGAATTGGGGGAAATTCGTTGACGATAAAAAGGTAGAGAAATCTGTTATTGGCGCGTCCGGAAATAGTAAAGCGGGTGATCTAAAAAATTGCGCCAAATAACCGAGCTAGTTTGGTAACTAGAAAAAATAACCGAGGCTAAGTAGGCATAATAATTAACGGCTGCATTCCCAATATGATTTATTGCCTAATTCTTTTTCCAATATTCATTAGCCTAATTTGTTCAGAAATTAACTAGTCACTTACGTGCAGAGGTGGATCCAGGACTTGAAGTTTTCGGATACCACACTACTTTGAGCATAGAATTACTATTTTTACGATCGAAATAGGATAAATATTGGTCAATTTAATCCATTTTAGGCTTATGTTCGGATTATTCTTCGTTTCGATTTATATAGGTAAATCGCTCGAAAAAAGAATATAATAACTATGATAACTTTGCACAAAGCATAAAACTTTCAAAATATTACTAATATTATAAATATAGATCTTTTATTTACAATTGTCGTCGACGAATTTTCAAAATTTGAAGATGATCAATAAAGTCATCATTACTTACATTTACAAATATTTCACTCTTTTTGGTGAAAGGTAAAAAAATCATTGCAAATTTAAAAAACTAATATAATCCACATTCATCGTTTTCAAAATTTAAACCTTTTTTCTATTTATATTTTACTATTTAAACACATTTTTATAACACTTACCGGCAAGGGGAAAACAATAACAACAAGTCAAACATCTCGGCAAGGGAGAATCAGCTATAACCAATATTATTTAACTTCTACTTGGCACCACTAATACCAATATTCAATCACAACTTCCCTAGGATCAATTAAGGATACACGATTATCAATTTAAGACTTACGGTCATGCTGGATACCAATGTATAGATACTCATCACCATGCCTATACATCGTACTCGATCAGTTAGCAAATAGCAAATAAGACTCAACTCTTATTCCCTCAAGCTAAGGTTAAACCAAACACTTACCTCAAACTTCCACAGTCAATTCAATCCTCAACAACAGCTTTCCCTCTCGAATTCGACTCCAACTCAATCAAATCTATACAATAATGACTTCGTAGTATCAATATGTGCTAAACAAATCAAACCCAATGTCTAATTATAGCTTTTTCATCATTTTTCCCCAAAAGGTCAGAAATGCCCCAGCCCCACATGGTCAAAACCCGAGGTTTGAATCAAAACCTAATTATCCATTCCCCCATGAACTCAAATATATAATTTATTTTGGAATCGGACCTCAAATTGAGGTCCAAAACCTCCAAATTTTGAAAACCTAGGTTCTACCCAAAATTTCCAAATTTCTCCATTAAAATCTTTGTGTTGAAGTTGAAATTAAGTTAAAAAAATGTTAAGGAGTGAAGAAAATGAGTTAGAAATCACTTACCAATCATTTTGAAGAAGAAGAATTGTTTGCAAAATCGCCTCTTATGTTTTGGATTTTTGAAAAAGTGAAAAATAGCTGAAATTCCCGTCTTTATATACCCCCCCCCCCCTGAAGNCCCCCCCCCCCTGAAGTCCCAGTGCGGACTGCGCAAAAATGGACCGTGGACACGCTGAAGAACTGAACAAAATACAACTCTCTGAATCCTCCAGCGTGGACCGCACAAAAAGGGAATGCGGCCGCGCTGGTAGACCTGGAGAGTGCTGGCTCTCTGAAGTTAGCTACGCGGACCGCGTATGGACGACCGCGGACCGCACTAAGGCGACCGCATTTGCGCATCACGCATCGCGGAACCTACTCAAAATTCTCCTGAACTTGCAACACCTGGTATTTTAAGTCTAAGACCTCCCGAAACCTACTCAAAATTTACCCGAGCCCTCGAGGCTCCAAACCAAACATACAAAAAACCTCAAAAATATCCCACGAACTTATCCGTGATATTAAATCACCAAAACAACATCATAAACATCAAACTAGGCCTCAAGACCCCTGATTTCCTCCCAAGTTTTCACAAAACATCAATTTTAGAGTTTTAAGTCTAAAACACGTCAAATGGCATCCGATTTCAACCAAACTTTACAGAAAGCTCTTAAACCATATATAAGGCTTGTACCGGGAGTCGGAACCAAAATACGGGCCCGATACTATAGTCTTTTAATCAAATTTCATTTCCAATTTCCTTAATTATTTTCAGAAAATAATTTCACATAAAAATTTATTTCTCGGGCTTGGGACCTCGGAATTGGATTCCGGGCATACACCCAAGTCTCATATTTTCCTACGGACCCTCCAGGACCGTCAAATCACGAGTCCGGGTCCGTTTTCCCAAAATATTGACCGAAGTCAAACTTAATCCATTTAACATCAAGATTTAACATTTTTCTCACAGAATTCATATTTAAGTTTTCCAGCTACACGCTCGGACTGTGCACGCAAATCGAGGCAATTCTAAATGAGGTTTTCAAGGCCTCAAAGGCACAGAAAGGGTAAGGAAACAAGTGATGACCCTTTGGGTCGTCACACTGGGATGGTTTGAAGTACTTTATATTAACTGCTTATCATTTAATTTGACTTGAGACTATATTCTTTAAAATTGCTAAATTTGAAGGAAAATCCTAGATTTCAATAGTACTAAAATGAGATTTTGATTAAGTAATTTGGTTGGCTTGCCTGACAGTAGTGTCCGGCGCCATCACGACTCTTAGTGGATTTTGGGTCGTGACAATATTCAATATCGTTCTTTGTCACCTTTATTTTCTTTTGGGTTGACCATCATTTAAATCTTAGTTGCAAATATAGAGTAAATATAAGCAGAGATTTTAGCGTGGCAATGATGGAGTAATGTATGACGTTGGAATCGTAAATCAATTGACCTTGCTAACTTGTACAGTATCTGCATCAAAATTTCACATCATAGCAGCGGCTTTTCTTGTCTTAGAACTGCATGGTTTGTCCTTGTATTAAATTCAGTATGTTATGGATCATTGAAGAAGGTTCAATACTTGATATCTTTGCTAATTGCTACAAGTAAAACGCCAGGAAAAGAGAAATCAATTATTTTTTGTAAGAATTAACACAATTCTCAAGTAATTAAGTATTTATAATCCTCGCCTACATGAAAGACAAAAATGGAGTTTATAATCACTAAAATTCAACCATATCTTAAGCAATTAAATGAGATGTTGAGGTGAACCTAGGCATATTACATGTTTGTTCCTGCGCTCTTTTATGTCGGATGCACTGTTCACTTTTCTTAGATGGTATACATAGATTATATACTGTTTATGTTGCTAGCTAGGGATGTTCATGATTTGGTTTGGGTCCTTTTTGTTTGTAAGGAGAAAGAAAAAATACTGCATATACAACTTCAACACTATTGCCCGTCGATGGACCAAAAGCATTTAGTGTATCCCAATGTCTATACTGGTGTTTGGTTATGCTACTACCATTGTTAGGGTGGTTATCTGGTTTTGGAAAAAAGTATTCCACGATGCTATTCAAACAAGACATTGAAATATTTGGCTACATATATTGGTTTATTGAAACATGAGTTCCTACTACTACTTAACACA